GGCGGCGCCCAATTCTTAGGTAGCCCTCGCTGCCCGCCCATGTTTCGCCCCCTCATTGCGCGAGGCTAAACCACTGCCGAATCGGGCGGAATCTAGTTCCCCGTCCAGCCTGTGGGGCTCTTCTGCTGCCCTTCACACATATTTTTCGTGTGCTCTTTCACCAAACATCATGGCCGTCCGGACCAAAGATGTAGCCGGCATTGGAGCGAGAACATGTGTGTACTTTGTAAAGGATCGTTGCCGTCTGGGCCAAAGATGTAGCCTGCATCTTGTGATCAAATGTCAAGCTCGGCTGCCAGACTGGCTGCTGGACCGGGCGGTCTAGGGCTCCCCGTCCACCCTGTGAGACTCTTCTGTGGTCCTGCTTATCACGATGAGAACACTCTAGCGAAAGGCGCTACGGTGCACATGGCCGTTCTCTCACCCCTGCCCCGGCCGCATTTCCTCACAATCGATTCAGGAATCGCGCTCTCGCCTCAATGCTGGATGCTGGCTACATGATTGGTCCAGACGGCCACGATCCAGTGTAAAAGAATACGCTGCGGTGCACATGGCCGTGCTCTCACCCCAGTCCCGGCTGCACTTCCTCAAAATAGATTCAGGACTCGTGCTCTCACCTGGATGCTGGCTACATTGTTGGCCCGGATGGCTATGATCCACCAAAATGCTCTAACGTGCACGTTGCCATGCTGTCACCCTGTCCTGGCTGCATCTTTCCTCGGAGTCTACAGGAATACACAGGAATGCACGTCTTCACTAGCCGACCTCGACCCGCCTCTTCACATTTGCTGCTATTAGCGTGCTTTGCTGGGGCACGTGTAACCCACACCATTCGATTGTTCGGAACATCGCGACGCAGCCATGTCTTGTGATGATGTACCTTTTGATGGTTCAAGCTGGGCCTCTTTACTATTCACCTCTACAACCGCCACTGCACCACGCGAGCGTAACCTCTGTTGTCGCTGCAGTCTCCCTGCGAGATGGCATCTGTCCTGCGGACGTTCTTAGTAACAACGTCTCCGCCAACCCTGCTTTTCCCCCCTTCTTCTCCTCCTCCTCCTCATCCGTCTCCTTCCCCCCACTCCTGCCCCTCCTCCTCCCCATCCTCCTCCCCCCCTCCTCGTCCTCCTCCTCCTCCTCCACCTCCTCCTCCTCCTCCTCCTCCTCCTCCTCTTCCTCCTCCGACTGGTCGTCCTCCTCCTCCTCATGCTCCCCCTCCTCCTGACATCGCCATCGCGATCGCCACAAACAACACGACGGAAGAAACCTGACACACACACACACACAATACCGAGGGCGTGCGCCAGAAATGCCACAGACGGGCCCCGCGTACCCGGACACCTACAACGCCACTACCCTTTTGCACGCCGTGGTCCCCGACGTGGTCCCCGAGTAACCCAACAAAAACGAAGGCAGGCCGAGGATGAATCCCGATGAAGATAAATTAGGAGTCTCTGAAAACCGGCGGTCCTGGATGATGTACCGGGCGCCGCGGCGGTTTCACAGCGCTCCAGCGTGCTCTGAGAGCGATCCGGAACTATGTGTTTTGCATCCTTCCACAAACCACCACGACAACCATCGAACAATTCTACGCCTGACGTGATAGAAAGGAGACCCGTAAGAGAGAACAATGGGGTTCTAAGAAGGCAGGTGGCTTCTTAGAAGCCCTCCCGGCTCCGAAATAAATCATCTTAGAATCCACAGGTCCTGGGGCCCCTGGAGGGCCCTGGGAGCTGAAGACGTCTTTCCCTTACTCGGGTGCGCCGAAGAGGGGGGCCAGGAAGTGAAGGGTAAGCACGTTATGGCCCCGAGGCACGTGCGCGGAAGAGGTGCGGCCAGGCAGCAGATTGAAAGAAGAAGGGGGGGCAGGGAAATCTGGGAGATGTCATGGCCACTGCATTGATATCCACAACCCCCTCGTCCCCATTCCCCTCTTGGGCGCTGCCGAGCTGAACATGACGCGAACGGGTCATGAGGGAAACGGGTCATAGACCCCGGGGCCTGCCCCAGGCACAGCTCTGAGGAGGAGGAGGAGGAGGAGGAGGAGGAGGAGGACAAGTATGAACCCAAGAATCATCAACGATGTTGGAATTAACCCTCCCTCCAAGCTCCCTCTTCATAGGCCCATTATAACGGTTCATTTCCATTGAGGGAACTGCCGCGTTGAAGACTATCGTTAGAAAATCCTGGACTATGCGAAAACATTGTTCTCGGGATTTCAACGCCACGGATCAACCTGACTGCTGCGTCGTGAAGCTCTTGCACGTGTTCTAAACGACTGTGCGCGGCGCTAAGGCGAGAACCACAATTTGAAAACGACCCGCCCTCAACCCGTAAAGCTCATGCAACTTGTTAAAACGAATGTGCGTGGCGCTAAGTCGAGAGCCACATTTTGAAAACCACCCGCCCTCCAACTGTGAAGCTGTTGCCACTTTCTAAGCTTCGGAATCATAAATGGTGGGGAAGTCTAAGGCGAAGCGTCCGGCCTGCCCTAAAAACTGGCCTCGGGGTGCGACAGGGAGAAATTATTTATAAGGAAAAAGAATTGAGGAGCAGGAGGAGAGGTGGAGGAGGAGCCATCCCGAATTGTATTTTGACTGTTCCGGGGCCCGTGGAGGGCCCCAGGAAGCCAAAATCGACTAGTAACCATAGGGCCCCTTTACCTCAGGACCCGCTTGCCTCATAGCAGCGAACAAAAATGACCCTCCAACACATCCTCCGACTTGATTGTCAACCCGCGGCCTGAGAGGCCCCGACACCTTCCCAAGGGGTAGGACGTCTTTTCTTTTCGTCGAAGGAAAATGTAAAGATACGGATTCTGGCAAATCAGCGCTGTGCCAAGAAGGTGTGCAACGGAGTCCAGACTTGCGTGAAATCCCAATTTCCTTTCGGGAGTTGCCACGCACAGCACACACCATACACACAAGCGCACACGCAAACGCATACACCGCCCCACCTCCATGCAGGCAGGTGGGAACATCGAAAAGGTAACAACGCCCCAGGCAGGTGGGAACATCAAGAAGGCGTTTCTGTTTAGATGCCACCGATTTTGCTTGCGTGCAAGGGGGGGAAGAAGGGGCGCGGTCAGGCCCGAAGAGCCCGAGACTCGCTTGCACGCCTTTTTTCGGCCCAGCGCCGTTTGAGATGGCGGCGGAGGAGTGGGGGGGGCATGCCATGCAGGTAATTCAGCGTGCTAGCATCTGAACAGAACGAGCCTCTCGCCGACGATGGCGACGACAACGACGACGGCGATGGCAACGGAGACGGCGACGGCAACGGCGACGGCGACGGCGACGACGACTACGATGACGACGACGTCGACGTTGACCGCGACGACGTAATCGTCGGGGGCGTCGACGAAGGGGTGTCCAAGAGGGGGGGTCGCAAATCATGGCCTGATGCATGGGGGTGGCCCAAGGGGGCCAGGGAACGCATTGCCATAGGACGAGGCGCCATGAAAACTGAGGCCCCCGCCACGAGGTCCCCCCTTGGTCATCCCCCCCCTCTTGGCCGCCGCCGATTGCCGGCGACGATGGCGACGGCGACGGCGACGGCGACGGCGACGGCGACGGCGACGGCGACGGCGACGACGACGACGACGACGACGACGACGACGACGGCGACGGCAACGACGACGACGACGTCGTCGGCTCCATCCCGGAGAGCCCCGAGACAGCGCTGGGGCCGCCGCCTCGCCAGCGGTAGCGGCCGCCCCGGACCTTGCCGGGCCCAGCAGCAGCGCCGCCAAGGCCGCCGCCACGGTCCCGCGAGGGGCGGCAGCCGGATGTGACCTCGCTGAGGGCGGACATCTCTCGGGAAACAGGGCATGACATCAACACATCAACTCGGAGATCCGCGCGGATTCCTCGGATCGGCGCCAGGCCCCCTGGCGGCGCTTCCGGCGCCGCCCCTGGAGTGCTCCGTGCGCCAGAGAGGAGGGTCCAGCGTTGCAGAGTTCTCATGTTTGTATTATTGCTTGTTCCTCGAATTTTGCTGCGGGATGGCGGCAATGAGCCCGCCTAGTGCGATTGTGATGATTTGCCAGGTTGCCTCCTTCCCCTTGGCATCCCGGTAATGATCTTGTTTTCATCTCGTAGCTCAGCTTTCCATTTACCCTGAACCCTTTGCAAGTTCAGGGGTGTGGCCTTGTTGAACCCGTACGCCATTGCTAGATATCCCATGAAGCTGAATGCAAACATTTTGTCACGGGATGACGACGACAAAAATGTCGACGACAACGGGGACGACGACGACGGCGGCGACGGCGGCGGTGGCGGCGGTTGTGGCGGCGCCAGCGGTGGCGACGACGACGGCGAAACCGACCGAGGCAACGGAGACGACCGAGGCAACAACGGAGACGACGACTGGTGGGGGACAGCAGAAATTGCAACGGGATGGCGTCAATGAGCACGCCGAAGGCAAATTATTTGTGCCACGGCATGGCTCTAATGATCTCGCTAGGAGCAAACATTGTCAGCAGAGGAGGGCCAGTCGAGACAGCTGCGGCCCTCTCGGCTCCTCTTATCCGCCTCCTCGTCCTCGTCCTTCACCTCCTCCTCCTCCTCCTCCTCCTCCTCGTCCTCCTCCCCCTCCTCGCAATCACAATCGCAAGATATGGGGTCAGCGAGCGCAGAGCCGAAGCTAAGACAGCTCAAACTTCCCGAGAGGATGAAGCAGAAATGAGAGACAGAGGCAATGGATGCCTCTGGGCAGCCTGGCCGAAAATGTGGTCGGCAGCAAGGACACTCTGAGGCGGGACGGGGTCCTCCAACCTGACGCCCACACCTCCCCCTCTGCCAAGGCGGAAATCTGCTCTACTGTTGGGCAGATACTGAGTCTGGCCCAGCTCACGTTGCACCCTTTCTGAAGGAAGGCTAAGCCTAAACAGCGAAGGCCCCTGACCGCATACAATAAGGATGGATCTGACATCTAGAGGACCCAGGGCTTCGCTTGGCAGGAACGCAAAACGCAAAAACCGCACTTTGTGGGACGTCCTGAAACACCACCTGGCCTAAAAGGGCCAGAAACGTCACGACAACGGTCGTTGGTGCTGACCCGAATTCATGCGCCGTTCCTCACTCCACCTCCCCCCTTCCATCTGCCCCCCATCGAGAATCAAAGATTCTCCCCGCTGCTGCTGACCCACATCAGCGGCAAACGCCAGGATAGCAGATGAGGAGGGGGCCAGGGAAGGACTACCCCTATAATGGGAGGGTTCGAAGAGACAGAGAGGAATACAGCGGAATACAGCAGGGAACGAACCCTGCCCCGAGACATTCGGAGCCCACACTGCTCCGCTGCACTCCCTGAACTCGCATGGGATCCGCCCACAAGAGGAAACCTGCAGTCGTCGGGCACGGATCGCAGCAGAGGTTCCGAAGGGAGGTGCGCTGCTGCCCCCACACCTCTGCTCAAACATGTGCATCCTCCTCAAGCTTTTCAGGACTCCTCGATCGTCAGCTCCTCAGCTGCTGGTTTGTCAACGGGCGGTGGCCCTACAAGGGGATGGAAGAGGCGAGTGGAGGATGCTAGAAACGTGAATAGGGGAACGGGAAGGTTGAGGCCTGGGTACCCCAAACACGCATTGCAGCAACGGACACACTGTATGGGTGTGTCTCCACCCTGCCGGCTGCCACAGCAGTTGGTGCGGAGAGGGACTTGCTGCCCTCACGCCAAGAATACGTCAAAGCGTTCCACGCTCCTCGTGATTCCGGGGCTGCCGCTGTTGACCCTCTCCTCCTTCCGCTTCTCCTGCAGAATGGGGCTGCGCACGTGGGCACTCGCGAATGCATTGGTACTGTACTCAGGCACTCCATTTGCTGCTGGAGCTTCCCCACGCCCTCCTTGAACACCGGCGTTGCTCGACCGTGCGACTGTTGGCCAACTCCTGCTTGACGGCACTGCACTTAGCTTATCAAGCGGCGTGCTTATGAGATCCGCCCGCATGTCCACCAAGATGCTTTCCTGGTCATCGTCTTTGCCAGCCAACGACCGTGGGACGCAATCATCGCAATTCGTACTGCTGTCCATGCCATCACCATCGTACATCTCATCTTCCCTAGCCTTGTCTGGATCCTCAGCCGTGGATGCACTTGGAGAAGCAAAGCCTCCAGCAAGGTTGTCAGCGGCTTCCCCCCACGATCTTCTCCAAGAAGGTAACAGTATTATTGTTGGTGATGTGCCTCATGATGCGAAACGCCGCGTCGAGTTGGATCAGCTTCTTGGCCGACCCATTGGCCAATACTTTGCTCCGACGCGAATCACGAGCCAGTTTGGCTAGTCAGTCCTTGTGGATGCACTTCCACTAGGCCCGAGAGAGAGAGAAAGAGAGAGAGAGAGAGAGCAACACAAAACAACAAACAGAACGCATCATCTTGCAAAAGACATCAAATAGCATCAAATGCGGCTCCCCTGCAATTGCAATGAACAGAACTGGACTGCAACGAGAGGTGAACGTTTGCATTACAGCAGTGCCGCTCCAAGCGGTGAGAGAGGACTTCCTGGGCCCCCCGACCAACACACTTGAGCTACAAATGGCTACGGACCTCCTCCTCCTCCTCCTCCTCCTCCTCCTCCACCTCCTCCTCCTCCTCTTCCTCTGGCTCCTCTTCCTCCTCTTCCTCGCCCCCTTCCGCGCGTGGCATTCGCGAAGAAGAAAGGCCGCGTATCCGCGGGGTCGCGGCCTAAGGGCCCTGCCCGCGAGGGCGTGGATACGCGTATGATTTTCGCCCACGATCCCGTCTAAGCTTTGCGGCACATTGTCGGACCCGGGATGGTTCCAAGCAGCCGTGCCTCGTCACGAGCGTTCAGGGGATGCCAGAATCGTCCCGAACTGCCGCTTGAGACTCGAGCCGGTGCCCGAAAACAGTCGGAGGAGGGCCAGTCGAGACAACGGCGGCCCTCGAGATCCCTCGGGCTCGAGTCAGGGAGACGTAGTAAGACTCGGGTTCGGGGTGGGGGGGCTCGGGTTGGCCTGACGGGGCCATCCGGAAAACGACGAGACCTAGTCTGAAATCTGACGCGAACTACCGCTGCAAACACTCCTACGAACACCAGGCTTCCAAACTCAGGACGGGCTCGCCAAGAAGCATGTTCACAACCCGAATTCTGACGAACTCGAGTCTCACTTTTCCCTGATGTTGGGGCCTGGATTCGCCTCAAGAACAGGGCAGGATGGACCCCGGGAGAGGTCGGGGGGCGGATTTTGAGCGGAAGTGGGCCCGCCGCAGGGCGGACCAACCGCCGTTGTCTCGACTGGCCCTCCTCTGACGAAGATCGACGACGCTTTTGTTCCCAGCCATCCTGTGGTGTTGGGTCCTCGTTTTGAAGAGAAACCGCCCCGCGTTCTCCTCCTCCTCCTCCTCCTCTCCTCCTCCTCCTCCCTCGCCTCCATCCCCTCACACGATTCGTGGCCCCGTAGGGAGGTCCACCGAAGGGCCTAGTGGCACCGTTCGCATGCGTCCCCCCCGCACATTTCGGCACACCCCTTCACATGGTTCGTGGCCCCACGAGGAGATCCACCGACGGCCCCAACGGTACCGTTCGCATGCGTCCCCTCCACAAATTTCGGCACACCACTCACACGGTCCGTGTTCCCGTAGGGAGCTCCACCGAAAGCCCCAGCGGCACCTTTCGCATGCAGTCCCATACTATTTTGGCACACCCCTCGCACGCTTCTGGCCCCATGGGGAACTCAACCTAAAGTACCAGTGGCGGTGTTCGCATGCGTTTAACCCGCCAAGTACGGCAGTTCATGGCTCCATGGGGAGCTCCACCGAAGACCCACGTGGCGGCGTTCGCATGCGTCTCCCCCGCCGAGGAAAAGGTGTCGTGGCCCCACGGGGAACTCCACCGACGGCCCACGTGGCGGCGTTCGCATGCTTTCCCCCGCCAAATACAACGCTTCGTGGCCCCACAGAGAGCTCCACCGAAGGCCCGGGTGGCGGCGTTCGCATGCGTTTCCCTCGCCCAATACATGATTCCACCGAAGGCCACACCGGCGGCATTCGCATGCGTCCCTCACCACCCGATGCGGCGCGTCGTGCCCCCATAGGGAGCCCCACCGAAGACCCCGGTGGCTGTGATCACATGCGTCCCCCGAAACCCAGTACGGCGTTTCGTTGCCCTCCACTGGAGGCCCCCGCCACCCAGCACTGCGCGCCGTGGCTCAATACGGAGCCCCACCGAAGGCCCCATTGGCTGTGATCACATTCGTCCCGCGCCACCCAGTACGGCGCTGCGTGGCCCCATAAGGGGGCCCCACCGAAGGCCCCAGTGGCTGTGATCACATGCGCCCCCTGCCACCCAGTACGGCGCTTCGTGGCCCTACAGGGAGCTCCACCGAAGGCCCGAGTGGCAATGATCACATGCGTTCCCGCGCCACCCAGTACGGCGCTTCGTGGCCTCATAGGGAGCTCCATCGAAGGCCACAGTGGATGTGACCATTTGCGTCCCCCTGCCACCCAGTACGGCGTTTCGTGGCCCCATAGAGAGCCCAACGAAGGCACAAGTGGCTGTGATCACATGCGTCCCCGACACCCAGTGCGACAGGTCGTGGCCTCATGGGGGGCTCCACCGAATGCCCCCGCCACCCAACACTGCGCATCGTGGCCCCACAAGGAGGTTCACCAAAAGCCCCAATGGCTGTTATCACATGCGCCCCGCGCCACCCAGTACGGCACTTCGTGCTCCCATAAGGGGCCCACAGAAGGCCCCGTGGTTGTGATCACATGGCCCGCCCCGCCACCCAGTACGGCGCTCCGTGGCTCAATAGGGAAATCCACCGAAGGACCTAATGGCTGTGATCACAATCGTCTCCCGCCACACAGTACAGCGGTTCGGTGCCCTTATACGGATCTTCAACCCGCCACCCAGTACGGCGCGTCGTGGCCCCGTGGGGAGCTCCACAATCGGCTCTAATGACTGTGATCACATGCGAGCCCCGCCACTCAATAATGCATACCGTGGCCTCATAGGGGGGCACCCGGTACGGCGCTTCGTGGTTTCATAAGGAGTTTTACCGAAGGTTTTAATGGTTGTGATCACATGCACCCCCGCCACCCAGTATTGCATTTCGCTGCCCCGGAGGGAGCCCCACCGAAAGGCCCCAGTGGCTGTGATCACATGCGCCCCGCCCACCCAGTACGGCGTGTCGTCGCCCCTTAGGGAGCTCCACCGAGTGACCCAATGGCTGTAATCACATGCGTCTCCCGCCACCCAATACGGCGCTTCGTGGCCCCATACGGAGCCCCACCGAAAGCCCCGGTTGCTGTGATCATATGCGCCCCCGCCACCCAATACATCGCTTCGCGGCCCCATGGGGAGCTCCACCGTGGTCCCCTGTGGCTGTGATCGCATGCGCTCCGCGCCACCTAGTACGGGGCTTCGTGGCCGCATAGGGAGCTCCACCAGAGGCCCCAATGGCTGTGATCACATGCGTCCCGAGCCGCCCAGTACGGCGCTGCGTGGCCCAGTATGGAGCTCCACCGAAGGCCCCAATGACTGCGTTCACATGCGCCCCGCGCCGCCCAGTACGGCGCGCCGTGGCCCCATACGGAACTCCACCGAAGGCCCCAGTGGCTGTGATCGCATGCATCCCGCGCCGCCCAGCGCTTCGTGGCCCCATAGGGAGCTCCACCGGAGGCCCCAGGGGCTGCGATCGCATGCGTCCCGCGCCGCCCAGTACGGAGCTGGGTGGCCCTTTAGGAAGCTCCACCGAAAGCACCAGTGGCTGTAATCGCATGCGTCCTGCGCCACCCAGTGCAGCGTTTCGTGGCCGCACACGGAGCTCCACCGAAAGCTTTGGCGGCGGTGTCCTCACGTGCCCCCGCCCATGTCGGCATACCCTCACGCGCCTCATGGCCTCATAAGGAGCTCCCCCGCCTTCGTCCCACCTGCCGTGGGTCCGTCGCCAGGATACGTTTCTGGATGGCTCGGCTGCTCGCAGGGAGTGACCGTGGGCAAGCACAGCCACGGCGATGATTGAGAAACGATGCGCCTACGACGCCTGGGCCAGCTTGAAGAACTAATCTCGCGCAAACGCTGGGCCAGCCATGCTCGCTCAACCCCGAGCGTGCGCAAGTGGAAGAGGAAGAGGAGGAGGCTGAATTATTCACTGCGTGGGGATCCCCATATGTGCATCTCCTTGCTGGCGCTCCCTTGGTGGTGGGACTCGGTGAGGACGAATCTGGATTTAAGTGTGACTGAGCTGCCTCTCTCTCTCTCTCTCTGCTCTCTCTGTCTCTCTCTCTCTCTCTCTCTTTCTGCCCTCTCTCTGTCTCTGCCTCTCTTTCCCTGCCTCTCTCTCTCTCTCTCTCTGCAGTCTCGGCTCGAGAGTGCCCTGCACTCAGACCGCAGCCGCGACGCGAAGCGCCCCGCCTCGGAGTCAGACTCCCAGGCCTCGCGAGACCGGAGGGGCCCCAGCAGGACCCTACTGATTCGCGTCACCTCTCCGCACCAGAGTGCCCGCAGCAATGGCCCCCAAGAAGCCGGAGCGCCGTCGCTCTTCAAAGCAGCCTCCGAGCTCCCGTCCCACGCGCCCTGCTGCTGAAGGGTCCCTCCTTCAACGCAAGCAGGACTGCATCGCAGCGTTCAGGCAAGCGGGGTCTGACCGCCCCACGGCCGCCTACAACGGGCTAGCCGAACTGAACGCGGACGAGCTCCAGGCAATGTACGACATGCACAAGTCCAACACGAAGAAGCTTGGCAGCGCCCTTATCCGCATGTGCGCCGCCAACCAGATTAGCTACACGCTCGATCACCACCAGCGCAGCAAGCCTAAGCGCACTGGCGGTGACACATCGCATCCACCAGCGGGCTCCGCACGTCTTCAGGCTGCGGACACCCAATTCATCGCCTTGGACCCTGCCTTTTGGAAGGTCCCTGTCCTTGCCGAACCCACCTCGCCTGACGACGGCAAGACGTACAAGCCCAGCATCAGCCTCCACGACTACGAGAGTGGTGAACGGCTGCTGCAGCACCACCTCGAGCAGGGCAAGCGAGCCACGGGTCAGCTCGCGATTGCTGTCATGGGCCCGAAAAACGACAACTACGTCGGTACCGAGCTCGCCGTCCCCGTCCTGAAGCGCCACCCCAAGGCGCCCAAAGTGGTCCACACGCACGTCCCCGTGACCGTGTACCAGCTGGGCACCAAGGAGGTCGCCTGCACGGAAAAGGTAGCCGTCGCCACCATCGACCCTGCCGACCACGTCTGCTGGATTCGGGCGACCATACACGAGACCGAGGCCATTGCCGCAGTCCCCTCCATGCACCAGGCCTTCGAGGACCAGTTCTCGGGAGGTGCCCCCGTGAACGGTGGTCCACGCGCCAAGGGCCCTTTTCGAGGCGACTCCGCTCCACAGGACAAGGCGCGCCAAAAGCACAAGGAGTCCAAGAAAGACGCTCGCCGCCAGGAGCTCGATAGCCAGCTCCAGGACACCTTCAAGGCCCTCTTCCACGGCAACTTTAAAGCCGTCACCATCCTCGAACCCTGCAAAAGCCTAGGCAGGTTTGGATCGGGCGTCGGAAAGAGGT